AAGTTTGATATCAACATATCTAAAACTCTACAATTGAACGATAAGCTTAGTGCCTCCAAAGAGAATTTCAATTTCTATTCCTGTAGAATGGGCGTTGAACCCATGTGAAAACATTAAAGTATTTATATTATTTGCAAGTTCACTTTCGTTACTCAATTTTAAAAGTCTTAACAAGCCTTACTGTTGCAATTAACTTATTTAGCTTCAAAAAATCGCAATATCTGAATTAGCTTCAGATAATTGCATTGTCTACTGATTCAAACTCAATGAACAGTGCCCATAGAAGTTTGCAAGCAGAAAACTCTCATCAAACACCGATTCTTCTCAAAATGTGTGAGTTACAATTTGAGAAGGAAAAATTGTGAGTTTGGAGATAAATTGTAAATTTGGAGAATCAATACACAGAGCTAAATGGGCAAGTGCTGAAGTTGGAGACGTACAAAAGCAATGACAGCCTCGTCATATTGAATAAACTGGTAAATCGAAATGCAGAGCAAGCCACAGTCATCATTAACTTGGTCCATTTCGAGGACAAGAAATTTATATGGAGGTGAGAAGGAATGTTGAGAGGAGTGACCAACAAGTGCAATAGAAAATACATTTCTATCGATGAGAGACTACCCTAATCAGAATAAAAACGCACATTTATGGCAACAGGGAAAAACAGCAGGTCATTAACAGAAAATTGCGCCGTTAAGCTAGAAATCTATGTCGAAATTCGAAGTAGAAACGATGTCGACTCGCGGCAAGTGCTTTCCCGAACTCAATCAGAGGCCCCGAAAAAAGTTTAAAACACACCACAAACCAATTTGCCCAATCCATCCTTGAGAAGCCTATTGCCCAACTTATTTAGGAAACCGAAAAACGTTAACTCCATCCTTATCGACTGGTCTACCCAGCCTAAAGAGAATGCAGTGAAAGACAGTTTGATGGAGCAAATGAAAAAGAAAGCCAATGTATCCACGAGTTACTGGCAAGAAAAGAAAACAGAGAAGAGATATCAAACTACCTTATGGGACGTTCAGGAGATACGCCAGTGCCTAAACAAAATAATAAGAGCTCAATTAACGAAGCGCCCATTCTCATCAAAAACACAGACGCCGAAGGAGTTGACTAATGACAAAAATAATTAAACTAAATTTCTCTTTCATATTAGAAGTCGCTCGATTAAAAAACACTTAGAGGACTTGTAAGCACTGGTATTCAGTCTTGAATCTCCAACCGATGTAATATGTTTAACTGAAACATAGTTAACAAAAAATAAAAATTTAAAGTTGGTTAGTTAGTGGTTGTAATCAATTCTGCTCTAGAAATAGAAACACTAAAGGTGGCGGCAGTAATGAGACAAAAATAAAAAAAACCTGCTGCTGTTTACCGAACCAGATGGCAATGCACTTTCAGGTGGGTCTTTGTGCCAAAATATCTAAGAAATCTGTTAAATTCTCATTTGGTGCTATATACAAAAAAACCAAAGCTAACAAACTGATGTTCTTAGAAAAATTGGATCAATTCTTGACGACGGAAAGTCGGCCGTTTGTATTGTCTGGTAATTTTAAGACAGAAATTAAGGGAAGCAATTTCAGAATTACTTAAACACCATATCCTCAAATTATTTTTGAGATCACTAGTATTGGAGCAACGTGTGCCACAGAATAATTCGCAAACTTTTTTTTGATCACTTTATATTTCAGAATGTACCCATGCCTACTTCAAAAGTAATCAACTATGAAACACTAACTGACAATTAATATATCACAGTACAATGGAATATAAACGGTGAAAACTAAACAGATGCAAGGCTCCGCTTCCCAAACACTAGCCAGAACTTGATAAGAAGCAGCTCTAGAAAGTGCAATAAAAAAAATTGAAAAACCTTGAATTAGCAAAAAATCAGCCACGCACGCTCAATCAGCGACAAACACTGGAAAGTGGCACTAAAGTGTGAAAAAATCAGCAAAAATGTGACCAAAGATAAATAGACACAAATTTGCAAGTGATAGTTTTAGAAATATGAAAACTCGATCTCAGAGGAAAAACAGACACCGAACGGAAACGGAACCACCAGCATTAAGCGAGCTTTTAGTTTTTTCCGAGCGTCCACTAAGCCAACAACACGTGGTTACACGCCAACTGATCCGAAAACAAAAAATGCCAAAGAAAGATTTTGTCATAAAAAAACCAACCATTTTTATGAAAATACAAAAACAGTCGAGAAACACAACAACTAGCTTTGAGCAAGCTTTTAGTAATTTCCGAGCGTCTATTAAGGCCACAACACGTGGTTAGATGCCAATTGATCCGAAAACAAAAAATGGTAACGGATCTGTGTCATAAAAAAACGTAAGCGATTATAAAGTTTGAACTTTAAGAGTTTTATACTACCAACCGACCTGATTCATTAAAAAAAATGATCAATTTCTACTTTTAAACCAATGCAAAATAAGTTCACTAAACCGACAAAACAAGAGCCGCAATAATTTAGGCCGAATAAAACTTCTAGGCGAAAAAATGTATATAAGAAAAAGCAGAAAATATTACAGTCAGGTATAATAATTTTGAAAACTACAGAATTACAGAAATTAATCAACGACACTTAAAACCACAATCAAAACTAGTTGCAGTGCAAAAAAACGTGATGTGGCAAAAAATGTGTAGGCAAAACAATTCAACTTCAGACACTGAAAAAACAAAGACCGGCCGGGATTCGAACCCCTTCTTTTTTTATTAGCCCCCGTCCTGCGCAGTGCAGCGCCAACCTTGAGGGAGGGGGAGATGTCATCCATTTTGCCGCAGCCGGTCCCACCTTGAGGAGGCGGATGACACTGGGACTCCTCCAGCCGTGATCGAAGCGGGATTCGAACGCATGACTCGAACCCCTGAAAAAGGTTGCAAATATGATGGGGCCTGGCAGTTGCCAAGGTTCAATAATAAAACAACATTAATTTCAATTACGAATGTGTAAGAAAGTTGTTCACTGGAAAAAAGACCTGTTCTCGATTCCAAGACACTCGTTCTTGCAAGTGTAAAGAAATCGAAAGTCAAACCACGAATCAGTGTATTTGAGCCTGAAAAACTTTTCCTGAAAAAAAGACTATTTCTGATTTCAAGACGACTTTTCGTGAACTACGTTCATCGACTCTTAATCAGCTCCTCGCGAGAACAGTTATTACCGTTGTTGCCTCAAGCATGGACGTTATCTCCGCGCTAATAGGCCAAATTGGTGCCTCTAACTACCGTTATTAACGTTATCAACAACCTTAATTACCGTTATTAACAACTCATTGCCTTTGTTGCCTCAAGCATGGACGTTATCCGCACTAACAGGCCAAATTGGTACCTCGAACTCGGCATACTATGCAAAAATAAATGAGATGAAAAACGCCTAAAAGTTTAGCATATTCGAATGAGCCAGCAGTTTTTTTCGGAAAATGATACGAAAAACTAAAAATATGAAAAACAATCAGCAAAAAATCTTTTAAAAAAAAACTTTTCTGCATTTATGAAGTTTGTTATTCCCAAATAGTTAAAATGGTCAAACGGCTTGCTGTTCAATAATAAGGCTGCTCGCTCGCTTTATATTGTTCCTAACCGCAATTTTTCCTCGACAATAGGGCACCTTTTTGAAAAATTTTTCGTTTCTTTCGAATCAGCGCTGAAAGGGCTTTTATATGATATAACACTCCAACCACTCCGATGATTATTTGTGGTAACTGCTTTTGTCCGATAAACATAATAAGTCTGCCTCCGCCAGTTCAATTTGCTCGAAATTAGACCAAAATTCAAAATCTTTAAACGGGTTTTTCTCGGCATTGAAAGGGCTTTAATAGTCGGAACAAAAAGCGTAGTCTTCAACTCGCTAAAAAGCATCGATTTTGCCAAAATAGCTTTCAGTTGGTGGGCGGGTAAATGAGAATGGGCGGGCTCAGTAAATTTTCTCTTTCTCTAAATAAAAGATGAAAATATTATGTCGCTAAGATGCTCAATTTCATTGTTAAAATTCTCAAAACTAATGATAAAAACGCCCTTGAAGGAATAAAAACGAACTTATTATCAAAATAAGCATTCAACTAGCTCTTTCAAGCTGACCTTTTGACCGTAATTCTAGTTAAATTACAATTCATTCATGTTACGTCAAATTCAAGACAATTCGAGAAAAGAATTGATCTTACCCTGGAAACTTAAATCATGCTGTTAGTGTCGTTAGATGACTAGCGCACAAAGATCCAATTTGTTAGATTGCTCTGATCAATCTGCACAAGCGTTTGAGAGACCACTGAAACAAAAACAACTGAATTTCAGATAACATAATCCGTAGCAAATAGCACTGATTGTTCCGCACACTTATTTCTTTACAACTGAATTCTCATTTTGCGGGAGAAAAAAGAACAAGAGATTTTTCAAAAATGAGTTTTGAGGCTTCAAAACGTTTCCCTTTTTTGCATGCACAATTTGAGATGAAATAAAATCCAATTTTCTTAATTATTTTTACTGAGATGTACCGAGTCGGATTTTTAATGTAATCTGCATTACTGTTAAATCTTAAAGTTTACTGAAAAATGGCTGACTTTTCGTTAGGGCTGCTAAATTTCATTGATTTGATCAAAACATTGAATTACTGTTAGATTTGATTGATTATAATCGAGCGGACGGAACTCAGAAGGTTTATAACTCGTAGGTATAAGCAAATTAAGAAAAATTTAGAATACCTAAAATATTACTTCAATCAACATTATCGTTTCAACTCTTAAACTTTAAATTGCTGATCAAATTGTACTGGATTTAGTTAAACTAATAGCAATAGTGCACGCTAGAGTACTCGCTGCAGATTCGCTGCTTTCAGATTTCGTCGGAATAATTGCGTTAAATTCACTTGTATTTTTTTTACCTCACAGGAAGTTTAAAAGCGAAGCGGTGTAAGCCAAAGCGCATGTGTTTAAGCCAGCAACAAAAAGAGTGCATACCTTTCAAATACTTTGTCACCACGTGACTATTTGCCTCACCTTTTGGTGAATCATTAAGTCTTAAACTTAAACGCCCTAAACCACAAAATATCTCATTTATTCAGATTTGAAAAGTTTCCATTTGGTCATGCTCTCAATTTTAAGTATATGGCGAAACCACCTCAAACATCATACCTCAACCATCATAGGGGTGGGGTTGGATGGGTTTGGGGGATGAAAGGAGGAGGGATGGGTGAGGGTGTAGCAGATATGCAATTCCGAATCCACTGACCTTCTGGCGAAAGAAGAGCAGAACGCTCCGATCCTTCCTGATTTTCGGCGCCATCCAGGGGAAGGTGGAAATTGTTCTTATCTGCAATCTCCCAACTGACGAAAATTTCATTTTCCTTCAAAGTCGAGCTGAATGCCAGATCTGGATTGCTGACGGATGACGTCATGTTCTGCTTGGGAGTTCCGTCTAAGCATGTTCCCGAAAAATCTTGACTGTTACCTCTTTTGTGCCGCTTCAACGTTGGAATCGGCTGTGCACAGCTTTGATCGTTAGAGTCATTGTTGTCATCGTGGTCACCACTTGATGAACATTGACTACTTGCGCCTTTGTCACTCGATCTCCTGTCAACTGAATCACAGCGTCCTTTGTCATCGACATCATCGTAATCAGTTCCTAGTCCGTTTTCATTCGATATACTTTCAGATTCGTCTTCGTCAAGATCCAATTCTGGGTACAAATACGAGTCGGATTCCAAGAAATCCAAGTGATCCAAAACTGACTCCAGAGGGTCCGGGGTTCCACAGCTCAACTGAGTCGAGACAGTTCCTCCCATCTTAACAGGGTTTATGTGCATGTGACTGGGTCCAGCGACAGACCTGGACGTGCTGGACAGAGAAGCGGCGTCTGACTTCATGGGGGAAACGGGGTAGCTGCTGAGACAGTTCGCTCCAAATGAGAAACTGCGAGGGAACACTGGAAACAATCAGGCTTTTAAAACTGAACAAGGGATGAGTTTTTTGGCACAATATGGGTCAGCTCAAAATTAGATATGGAATTAGTGGAATAAACTAGCCATCTTTTTTGAGATTTGTCTGAAAAATCAGTAACTGCAATCAACTTGGCGAGAGAAAAAACAAGACCCATTAAAAAGTTAACCTTCTAAAAAACTAAAAAGCTCTTTTTGTAACGCACGGCAATGAGAGGAAGCTTGTCCTAAGTTTCCAGTGAACATATCTTGTTCGTCCACTTTGCTCCTGGTAGACATCTCACTCGCTTTGCGAACACTGTGCTTGAACCACCCGTCAGAATCGGAGTAGGTCTCCGAGTTCTCAAAGTAGCTGTGACTCGTCTGATCCATCTCTGGTACCGGACGGTAACTCGGACATAGGCTTCCGCGGTGGTGGAGCGGCATCTCTTCGATTCTCGGTCGGACCCCAGTGTAATATGAGTCGTACATTCCGATGAGGTGATTAGCGGCTACTTTCACAGATCGAACAGCACTGTGTGACTCGTTTATGAACTTGAACAGCTGAAGGACAACAGTTTCGTCTTCATGTTTGATCTCCTGGGTCGCTTTGTTGAGCCAGAGGATGCTGCAGCTGCGTTGGCGGGTGAGGCTGTGGAAGTTGCCGGAGATAAGGTAGCTTTCCGTCAACCACGTCCCGAAGATGTCATGAGGTTTATTGGACACTCTTGACTGCAGAGCAAACTCTAGCAAACCAAATACACATTTTTCAGGTAGGAAAAGACAAGTTTCCAATTCCCCAATTTTTTTTTCAAATGACCCAAAACATTAGTGTTTTCCACTCATTAAAAAACTGCATTCAACCACTAAAACGAAGCGCAGCTTCGCAAAAGCTTGCAATGCAACAAAAATGAAGAAACACAACATAGATAATAGAAAAGAGACGGAAATCGAAAATGATGCAGCAAACTTAACTTGATAAAATTGCTTGAAAAAGCCTAAAAAGTACTAAATTTACACATTGTTGTCTCGGATGATGCACATAAAAAATCCCATACTTCGTAAAGCGAGCCAATAAAAACCACGCCAGATAAACATAGCCAACAGACATAGGAAAAGATTCAATGAACGCAAGTGAACAAAAAACAAATCTCAGAGAAAAAAAGACGCCCATAAAGCTCTTTGTCTTTCTAGATCAAATTATCATTAGAAAATTTTTGAAAAAATTAACCTTATTCGAGAAAACTGGATCACTAAGTAAAAATTATTTTCGATGGGAAGTCTGAAAACTAAATTCCTCTTTCAAAACTAGAAGTTGATCACGTTTTTAGAGAATTTTAACCTTTTCTTGTCCAATAGTGGAGTTTGCCTTTCTGTTCACAAAGAAAATGAAATGAACTAAAAAACAAACCAGAAATCAAACAGCGAAAAAGTAAATTTGAGCCCGAACAAACTTCAAGGATTTTCCTGAAAAAAATCATCGCGACCTAAATTGAACTCTGCCTATTTTCTACCTTTACGATCTTATTTTAGTTAAATTTTCAGGGTTTTATTTAATTTTCTTACGGGAAAAAATCTAGTTCTCGATTACAAGTACACTTGTTCTCGCAAGTGAAAAAAGTTGGAATCGAAAAATGATTATTTATATTGAAGCAATTTTAAAATCATGCGGAAACTTAAACACACAAAACAAACCTTTGAGATTGAAGACTGCTATCTCCCCTGAAGTGCTCTGGTATCCAAAGTGAACTCCCGACACCAACAGAAGAGTGTCGGTGTCATTGAACTGGGACAGCTGAGTATACTGCCACGTGTACTTCTTCATGTTGGCACTGTGCTTCAAAGTACAGCTTCCAGAAAGACCAGAAGATGATGAAGAGCCAGATACGATGCTGTTGTTCTGCCATACCTGAACACGAACAAGATTCTATATTTCTCAGAAACTAGCACAGATCAATCGTGGGTTTTGGAGTGTTTTCGATTATGCGACCAAAAATTACCAAATTGTTCATTGAGCTTCTGCTCTTAAAGAAAACCCTGAGTTTCTTTCACTAGAATTAAGTTCAGCAAATCTGGAAGAAAACAGTTGAGGAAAGCGTCAGCTAAAAATCAAGATATTAATTTTCCAATTCTTCTAGAACACATTGACCTAAGCATCAGAAAGATTCGGGCTACAGAAACTCCGTTCATTTCTTTATAATAACTATAAAACGCAACGAATAACAACAAAAATGAAATTTCGGTCAGAAAATCGTGATCTAAAGTTTACCAGTAATTTTGCTAAAATCTCTAAACCAAACAATTTGAATGTCCATCAATAACATTTGTGGATATCAAAAAAATTAACCATCGCATGCTAAAAACTGAGATAGAAACACAGAGGCAAAGCTGCACTTGGAAAACACAAGCAAAAAAAAACAATGAGTAGCTTTGAAAGGGTCAAAAAAGGAAAAAGAGGAATAAACATAAAAATAAAAAATAAAGTTTCGTAATGAGAAATATAAATGACCGCTACAGAATTCGAACCTCTGTCTTCGGAAACCTGTGCACTATAGTCGACTGCCGCACAGGACTGTACTACAGTAGTCACACACAAAATGGAGAATAGGTGCAGTTAAACTGCCAATATGCAGCAAAAAAGCCACAAACAAGCTACGTTGCGAGCTACGTTGGAAAATGTAGAGTTGGTAATTTGACACTACCTTCGATTGGGCAGAAAGAAAAACCTGAAAAATAAAACTTCAAGCACAGAGGCTTCCAGAATGAATTGCTGTGAACAAAAAACATGCCCAAACAATAGAATGCAAAGCAGCATCGGAACAAAATTAACCAAGCGGTGACAAAAAGCCGAAAATACCTGAGCAGAAACTCTTGAAGCCGAAACTTTTTAATTCAAAACTAATTAAAAAGTTATGCGTCCCCTTCCCCTCATAGCACACACAGGCACACAAGAAAATCCTGGTCAGATTCGAAGCCAGTATCGCAAGGGTAAAAACTCAAATACAAGATTGTTAAACAATTTTAAAGATAAAGAACCCTAAATTAACTATGGAACACTATAAAGTTAGCCCAGTTACATGAACCTTATCAAATATGAAGTTAATAAGCAATGATAAGATAGCAGGATCACAATAAAAAGTAGACGATAAAAAGACTCATATTTTTCCGAAAACTTCCTATATGAAAACAATACGCTGAGGTATCACCTTGAAATAGGGCTCTTTTCCAGTCCCCACCTTTTGATATTTTCTGAAACTCAATTTATGAAATTCTATTTAAAATTAATTTTTCATATCATAAACTGTGTTAAAAACACGTCAGCGTGAACAAATTTTTAAAGCATTTATATTATGCAAAATATGCCGTGTGAACAATTTTTGAACAGTTTTAATTTGCAATTTTACGAGGGGGTGGAAAACTTGAGAGCCAAAAAATAGTTACCTGGTACTGGAATAATTTCATGATTGAATCAAAAACACAGCAAAAGTAGTAGCTTGATAACAAGCAAGGTTTGAAAAGTGTTGAAAGTTGAGGATCTGTTTCCTTCCCATCACCCACAAACCTTGCATAAGCAAAAATAATTTGGCTCAGCGAGTGCTTTTACAAGGTTAGGCATGAAAACCAAAAAACCAAATATGTTTGAAAGCGCATGATTAGTACGTTTGCCATTTTATTTAAATTGGACAAATTGACCCGGCTGTTTCCGCCCCCCCTACATTTGATTTTCATTTTTGAAAACCTTGTTTTAAGTTGAGAACGTAATGAAATTTTGCATGATGAACAACTATTGTGAACAGTTTTGTTCTTCATACTTTACACCCTAACCTGATGCAGTAAGCCATAACAACACATTAGACAACTGAGAAAATAGAAAATTTGAATGTGAGGGGGTTGAGTGCAAAAGAGCCATTGAACCCAAAAAAAAAGCTGACAACAACTGTTTCCTCCCCCCCCCCCCCCACCCGCAAATTTTTACATGTAAATTTGTTGACCACATTGTCCGATTGTTATGAAAATTGACATATAGACTAATAAGGCCAGGACAAACATATTTTGTCTTCATACTCAACCTCGTAAAACCACTCGTCACCCTAATATATTAAAGCTCGTGAGGTAGGGGGGGGGGGGGAACCACTTGGAAAAAGGGCCAACAAAAATTGGGACGAAATTCATAAAACTGACATTAAAAAATGAATTTATTTCTAATATGTTTTTCGGCTGTAGACCAAAAACTACAGCTGCTAAAAGTGCAACGTGACGTGAACTGGATTTCTTAAAACTGGAGATCCAGTGAGCAAAATTATTTACGAAAAAAGAGTCCAATACCCAGTTGCAATAAATACCCTTGCTCATAGCAAGGGTAAAAATTATAAAACATCAGTTTTGGCAGGTGTCAAAAAAACCGCGTTTTTCCCCGATAACTTTTTCAGATGTAACTTGGCAGCAAAAGCGCAAACCTTTACAGAAGAGAAATTCAAAAATGAAATCAATCTTAAGGCTAAAATTGTACTAGTAACCAAAAATTCGGTGATTCTAATTTCAATCGTTTGAATAATTCACTGCGACTTAAAAAAGAAAAAAAACGTGCCAAGCAAGAAACGTGGCTCCATCGGATATGCTCGCACAAAGTTTTACCGACACGTGCTATAAGATTTTACCGCTTTGGTTGCACGATGAAAAATAGTTACCTGGTACTGGAATAATTTCACGATTGAATCAAAAACATAGCAAAAGTAGTAGCTTGATAACAAGCAAGGTTTAAAAAGTGTTGAAAGTTGAGGATCTGTTTCCTTCCCCTCACCCACAAACCTTGCATAAGCAAAAATAATTTGGTTTAGCGAGTGCTTTTACAAGGTTAAGCATGAAAACCAAATTATGTTTGAAAGAGCATGATTAGTACGTTTGCCATTTTATTTAAATTGGACAAATTGACCAGGCTGTTTTCCACCCCCCCCCCCACATTTGAATTTCAGTTTTGAAAACCTGGTTTTAAGTTGAGAATGTAATGAAATTTTGCTTGGTGAACAACTATTGAGAACAGTTTTGGTTTTGTTCTTCATACTTTACACCGTAACCTGATGCAGTAAGCCATAACAACACATTAGACAACTGAAAAAATGGAAAAGTTGAAATGTGAGGGGGTTGAGTGCAAAAGAGCCATTGAACCCAAAAAAAGGCTGACAACAACTTTTTCCTTCCCCCCCCCCCCCCCACCCGCAAATTTTTACATGTAAATTTGTTGACCACATTGTCCGATTGTTATGAAAATTGACATATAGACTAATAAGGCCACGACAAACATATTTTGTCTTCATACTCAACCTCGTAAAACCACTCGTTACACTAATATATTGAAGCTCGTCGTGCTCGTGTGAGGTGGGGGGGGGGATAGGGGAGGAGGAAAAAGAGCCCAACTGAGCATTTACTCTGATGAATCCGTCCTTGGAACAAGTGGAGAACATCTTTCCATTATTGGAGAAAGAGACGTGGTTCACTTGGTCCGAGTGGTCCCTCAGCACTTCCGCTTCCACGAGCGGACACCGCGTGAACAGCCGAATGAACTCGCCCAGCCACGACACGCCTCCAGGCGCCATCGCGATTGCACGATCGATCTACACAAACATCATCGCGATCACACCATCTGTTCAAAATCATTATTCGTTTTTATACGATCATAGATTTTTAATTTTATTTGTTAAATATTCTAACTGTAACCGTTAGAATTTTAACATAGAAAAAAAACCAATGATAGTTTCTCCATTTTATAAGAAGAGCGGCGGCCAAATGACTAAGATCTCTGTTAATCAGTTACTTTGATATCACTTTACTATGTTACTTAATCAAAAGACTTCTTACATTTTTTAATGTTTGCAAATATTACCATAGTGGAATTTTTTTGACGACTTAGGAGGAATTGAAGTGATTTATCTCACCCGCCAGTAGTGGTAGAAGTGGTGTTTCCACAGCATGTCATCATTGGCCACTCTGTTCCAGATCATGCAGACGGAGGAGCAGCTGACGACGTCTCGGAAGGACACGTGCAACATCACCTGGTACATTACTGACTCCGGCAGTTGCAGCCACAGATCAGCGGCCACACTGGGCACCACTGAAACATAGCCAACAGACAGCTGGAAAAGAGTAATGAACGCAAAGAAACTGACTTGTTTTTTAAAAAAAAAAGATCTTCGAATACGATCCCGCGATATTGGACAATGCTACGATCTCTACTTTGCAATGGGGTATTATAAAAATGTATCATCGCTGTTCATGGCTCTACAGTTTAAATGAAAAAAAAAAGCATCGCTGACGCTATTTTATAAGTTATAAATGAAGAAATCGTTTGTCTAATGCACGTGTCAACAAATTCGATTTTGAGTACATCCACCTTGCTTTTAGAGGCAATCCTGGCAATTATTCTTTTCATTTTGACGAAAAAAAAAATTGTTGAATTCAGTCTTACTAATTGAATTGAGTTTTCAAACAAAAAAAAATCGCCAACTAGTAGTATTCGAGGCTCTTTTCCAGTTCCCCCCCTTTGTTAAATTACAAAAAGAGATGTTCAAAAATTAAACTGGAAAAGAGCCGTATTCGATACTGGTGTATACTATTAAACTAGTATGTTGCCAAAACTAAGCTCTATAAAGAGCAAAAGAAGAATAAAATGAAATAAGCCTCGAATTAGTGAAAAATTAGTGAATAAGCCTCGAATTCGGCAACCACTCAGCTACGGAGGCTTAATCACAAACGCTAGCCACAAATACAGCTGAGAACAGATGCTATGCAATTTCCAATGCAACAGAGAAATTTCCATATAAGCGAACACTATTATTTGCGAGTTAGGTTAGAAAAAAAGAAGGATCTTAGTAAGAGATTTACGCTCGCAAGCTCGCTAGTGTGAAAACTGGATCTTCGAAACTAGAAGTCCACGTTTTTCCTGACCTTTACACTTTTGCTGTTCGATAGTGGAGCTTGCCTTCCTTTTAACAATGAAAATGAACTGGAAAAGAAATCACAAGCCAAACGGCAAAAAAATCAAAATTTAGTAAGAACAAATTTTAAGACTTTTTTCCTGAAAAAACAGAAAGAAAAACCAACTACTTATTCACTCGAAATAAGAAGAAAAGAAAAGAGAATACGAAAAAGAAGTGAACAACGCTCAAGGTAACAATCTTAAGCGCTCCGAAGAAAACAAAAAGGGCACTAGAAAAAGGACTGAGGAAGATATCCTCACAGAAACTCTTCCACATCTGCCATTAAATGGTGATAGCCGTGCCAGAGAAGCAGCGGGAATGAAAAAAGGCAAAAACTGTCGGCATATAATGGAAATGGCTAAAAACGGAATAAGCTCCCAAGTGGAGCACAATTTGGGGGAATCAACTCAGAAGCAGACAAAATCAGTTTTTCGATATCCCTTTTTCTGACGACAACTATTCTGAGAACAGTGTCGAAACTAGAACCAGATAGCCGAGCGGTGAAAGAGGTTAGGTCTATGTTCGGGGCGAAAAATAACGTCTCAACGAGGAGAAACTTTTATTTGGTCGTGAGACATCAAAATACATCAGGATGCTAGCGAGCTGGATGGACCGAAAAATTACTAAACGAAATCGTCTAAAATAGAATCCTCAAATGCGAAACCTTAAATAATCAATAGCAAGCTCTCCAAAAAACAATCTATAGCAAACTCCAAATGAAATACTGGTGATATGTTAAAATAGGTGGTAATTTTGAGTATAGTGCATGTATTACATTTGAGAACTAATGCATAATATAGTCATTTCATTTTCAATCAAATATACATGCTACTAAAATAGTTTTTGTCATTATATTACTCTGCTATACGAAACTTTACTCACAAATATAAATTTTACACTTCTTTTGCCAAAAAGTTTGGCTGTTGAAACAAATTTTAAACACTGTTCAAATATAACAAAAAGCGATCCAGCAATTTGACTTGAAGCTGCCACCTATTATAACATATCGCCGAAATTTTAAATTCTACTCTAAGTCTAATATCTACATCCAGTATGAGACATTCAAATTATCAAACAGCCGAACGGTACGTCACTGACTTCATATGCCAGTCAAAAGTTCCATCAATGTTCCGACCATTTGAAAAATGGGGGGAGGAACTTTGTAATCGCGAGTTTTTATTTTTCTTTTTTTTGTTTTCCACTCAAAATCAGGTACCGCAGCCCTCTGTCGTTACTTAAATTTACTTAATTTTGCCTACAATAGCTCATTTCTGAATATTTTTTACTCAAAAAAGTTAGTTTTCTATCGCTCAGATCCTTTTAGCACACTACGCAGAAAAAACTAGACTTAATTGAAAAAACTTTTCTGTTGTAGTTTTTTTACACAGAGGCAAAGCGTAGCTTAGCACCATTTGCAATACAAGATAAACATAGCAGTGCAATCTAGCAGGCAGGAAAAGAAAGCCACTAAGTCCAGAAAAAAAAACACCTCAAAAAACACAACTTAAAAAAATTCAAAATGTGGTCTTGAATCAAGTTCTCTTTGCCGCAAACACGTTCAGAAACACAATCGACGGTTATTAGAGAAAATTCGTAAAATAATTAACCAGCAAAAACTGAGCCAACGAAACTTAAATAGTTTTCCGTAGAACAGAAAATTTAATTGTTGTCATGAAAAAACTTTCAACTATAAATTCTATTCTAATAATTTTAGCATTTGCTGCGGTCCAGAATGAATCATAAAACTTATGCTTCCTTTGAAATGAGCCCAACTTAGGTCACTAAGCCGATAAAACAATCCGTTATCATTTACGCCGAATCGGTTTTTGAGCGTAAAAAAACAAAAACAGAAAATATACGAAGTCAAGCCTAGTACAATTAAAACTGAAGGAGTAATTCGAAACACGAAAAACAACTACATTGAAAATTGAGTACAAAAAAAAACAGTTCTTCGAAGTGGCAACTTGGCCGACAAAACATAAGCAGACAAACTATAGACCGACACTTTTTGGAAAGAAATATTTCCGGACACACATAGAAGTTTGAATTCAATATGAAGCAACATACAAGTGATTCTGCTTAACAAATTGTTAACCCGAAAAAAGCCTATGTTCCGGTTTAATAACGCTTGCGAATCACCGCAAAACTTGAAAAAGTAGTTTTACTCAATATAGCAAAACTGTGCTATGTCATGATTTATTAAAGCCCTCTCAGTCGTAGTTCGAACGACCTATAAGAAAATTACTAAATTATCTGAGTCGAGAAAAACCCGTTTGAATTTTTTGATTTTTGGGCTACTTTCGAGCGAATGAAGCGAGCAATCAGGCTAATTTTGCTCAATTTAAGCCGCTTACAATAGCCTATTTCTGTTTATTATTTTTTTACTCAGTAAAGTTGGTTTTAAACGCCAGTTTGGGTAATAATCATCGGAAACAGTACCATAATCGGAAACAGTGCTATTTCAGAATCGGAAACGCTATAATCGGAAACAGTACTATGTCAGATTTATTAAAACCCCCTCAGTCGTGATTCGAACGAGAAAAGAAATGAATAAAATTATCTGTGTCGAGAAAAACCCGTTTGAAAAAAAAAACAGTTCCTGGTCAGATTCGAACCAACAACCTTTGCCGTCCGTCCCAGGCGTATTCTTCACCTCCAGCTAAGTGCATGAATTCAATTTGAAGTGCTACAATTTGAATTCATTATGAACCACGATTCTGTTGTTAACCCGAAAACAAGTCTGTATTCAGGTTTGATAATGCTTGCCAATCGCAAGCGCAATAATTATGGTCGGAATATTCTGCACAACTTGCACAGTAACCAGCTATCCTTGTTTTTGTGGGCATTTGCATTGCTCAATTTATCAATATCATGTAACAGCTCCGTATTTGCGGCTGGCTTACATGTTTGCTGGTTTGTATTTGTCTGTTTTATATACCACCTCGAGCAGTAGCTTTAAAAACTTTTGCAAGCTTATTGATGAATTCATATGATGAAATTAAAAACACAAACCTTTGCGCAAATTTTGCCCTGTAAAAAGCTGCACTGATAATTTATTGCTCAAAACACGTCAATTTCAAGAGCATTTTTATGAACATGAAGCAAAAAACTTTCACCAACTTGAAACCGATACCACCTTTAGCCTGAGCATGACAAAGCAGTTTTGCTCAGCACAATTATTGTCTAGAAAAACTCACTAACGAATTATCTTTAACTAGGCGGAGATAACTCTGTTTTTCTAAAAAAAAGAAACAACAATGCATAATTAAAGCTGAACAAAAACGTTAATACAGCCATTTGTATGCGTGCAAAATTTATAAATATATTCCAATAATCACCGGTCCTCTCCACCGCCTAAAAATTGGATAAAAACTAATGGCGTAGGATGTTTTTCCCAATTGAAATTACATTAAGGCCGAAATTGGTATCATATTGAAACCCCTCTATTGGTTGTGGTTCTGATTTCAAAAATCTGGCAGGAAAAATGTCGGTATTCAGACTCAACCAGATAAAAATTGCCGTTCAAAAGATCTGGCTTTTGATGAGAGGCTGACCTCGTCACTTTATTCTCTAAAGCTTTAATGATAATTTAGCATTTATTACCCTCATTGCAGTTATTTCATTTATTCAAATACCCTTTACACTAATTTTTTTTTACTGTTTGTTGATTTTTTTCTTGAATCATTGAGGACGGATCATTTTGAGTTACTTTTACAGCAACTAGCCATCCCTGTTTATAAAAAATAAATAGCAAAATCATTTTGTTTGTTTTTATAAAATCCAATTGAAGTATACTCAAAGGGGAAAAATATATATACCCCGGGCACCCCAATAAAATCAGTTGCTCAGACTCAAGAGCAGAATGAAGCTTCGAAACAAATATAGCACAGAAAACTAACATTCAGAGAAGGCGACGAAAATCACCAAACAGAAAAATTATTTAATTGAAAAAATTGAAAAAAAAACTGCCTCGACCAAAGTTTTTATGAGTGTCTCGACGAACAACTTTCAATTTGAGGAAAACACAATTACTAGCAATAACAGAATTCAGGCAAGAGGTATCTAACGGAAATTAACCCAACATTACTTAGGTAGAAGCCCGTTATGCAGAAAAAAAACTGTCACTAAAACATTAGCTAAAAGCTTTGAAATTCGGAAGCTTTTGTAACGCACCAACATTAAAACAGGTATGCATAAAAATCTGTTATCTCTCTCGAAATGACGCAATACGAAGCAACTATGCCGATAACCCGTCGGCTGCAACTAACCCAGACAAATGAACCATTTAAGAGAAAAAAACATTGAACAGGAAGTTATACAATCGGAGTTATTTCTATCAGAGGAATAAATCGAAACGATTTTCAATTTTAAAAGAAACAAGACTGCTCGTATCAGGGCGAAGCCCTGAATGTTCCGACTGCTTTTGAAGGTTTATGGAGCAGCAGTAATAACATAAAAACATTATATGAAATAATACAAAAAAAAAAATTCTAAAATTTGAAATTTTTTATGAAAATCATCCCCCCACACGCCATATAAAGTACAAAAAGATAGTTTTCGTTCCTTGTATCACATCAATTATGGCAAATAAGCTTCGTTCAACCAATTTGGAACGATTTATAAGACGGGTTAAATCTCCGCTTACGCGTTAATAGCGCGAATTATATCGCGCGTTAATTGTCCCAAATTGGTCAAAATGGCAATCTTTCAACCCTCATAACTTTACGAAAAATGATCACAGGTGAAATATCTTTTCAAATTTAAGCTCAGGACAACAATACCTTTTGAATGATATAAAAAAATTCCGTCAAAAATGGCTAGTTAAAAAGTGGAAATTTGTCTGAAGAAAAAAAAACCCACCCCGAGCACAAATATTCCGTTACTTTCGTATCGAAAGTCGGAACAACAACTTGAATCTGAAATAATTTCATGCTCTGTAAACTAAGCCGACAAAAACTAAGCGGTCATAATAGACCGACAATAGATTTTTTAAGAGAACCTCAATATCAAGAGTACTGATATAATTTCTACATAGCACAGTAGTAGCAGTGGCCCGTAGCCCAGTAGTATAATTAAAACTTTCGAGATTAATTACACGTTCATTGGGCACATTAATAAGTGCACGTGCTATTCAATGATTTAAGTGAGTTTGTCAAACAAGTTCTTAACCCAAAAAAAGTCTTTATACCGATTTGATATCGCTTGTTAATTCCAAGTCTAATATATTGAAACAAATCAATTTTAATCTTAAAGAGAGCGTCTAACAGTACACAAAAAAAGTATACTACCCGCTCATTCAATACACCTTACGTTTGAAGTATTGCGTTAATACTTTACCCAGAACGTTAAAATCAAAGATGTTTTATGTTCGTTGAAAGTCACTTCATTTTAAAAAAAATGTTTTCCCGTATTGATCGGGCTCCAATAATTCCTAATTAAGCAGTACTAACGAATACTTGACGTAACCTTGGCGCAATAAATCGAAAATACGATCGATTTTTCTCAATTTTTCTGACTTAAGTCTGCCAATTACGACGTTGTTTTGAATTGATCTTTCATTTAAAAATGCCAAATTTTACAATTCGAGATTTTTGTCTGGAGGAAAGCGACAATTCGGTAGTCTATTCAAAGATAGTTAATTAATAAAGTCATGCGTTCATACAGCATCTTCTGTATACCACAAACTTCCATGTAGAAAGTACCAAGAAGTAATTTTCAAATTTACAGGTTTCTTCTAGACGACTGATTTATGACTTCGAGAAATGGGAGCAAGTGGACAATTTCCCCCCTAAAGATTTTCAAGAAACCTTTCACTTGGTTGAAAGTAATATTTTTTATCCAATCAGATTTAAACATGTTACATGCAGGCCTTACTGTTCGAATTTGCCATTTAATTTAAGGAGATGGGGGGGGGGGGGGGGGGGCGGGGGATTGTTTACATGGGTTGAGAAAGGAAGATGAACAAAAATAATAGATATTTTAGATTTGTTCTCTCAAATCTAAAGTCGCCATTTCGGATATACTAAAGTTTCAAATCTTCTAAAGTTTCAAATCTCGTCGCGGTTGATTTTTACGTCGCGGTTGATTTCGCTTGCGCGATCCGAGCCGATAAACAGTTGAAATCTAGGAAAACTTGGTTAACATCCTAATATATTCATTTAAACCATTCAAAGAGGCGAAGCTGCACTTCAAAACACAAGCACCTCTTGAAACAAAATGAAAGGGAAAATACGCGGAAATACGAACTTCAACTTCAAAAAAATCAATTACTAAGAGATTCGAGCGCTCTGAACTCCGGGGCGCTCGTAACTTATCTTAGAGCTGTTTGGCCTTGCTTTGAGCTACTTCATGCATATTTAGTTCACCAATAAAAAACAACGACAGGACCTTAAAACGACAGGAAACTTGGAAGACCAAATAAATTTGCATTCCTCTGTATGATTACGTGTTTCTATAACATTAGGCACGCCAATTTGTTCATGAACATAGCTAAGGTCAACTTCTGTGTAAAAAACGCATTAGTTTAGTACAAAATTTGTACACAACGGCCGACTTAAATGATAGAAAAAAAATAGAAAACGACAAAATTGTTAGCAGGAAAAAATTCCAGCTCCCCCTTAGGAGACAGTTAATTCAGTTCCGAATCATTATTACTGTTTCATTAGTACAAAAGAAATTAGTGGAAAGATTGAATTCGAAGAGTAATCAACTAACGTTTAGGAACTCTATGCGTGATTCCCATGAGCCTTCGCGCTTCTTTTTTTTCACATTCAACCTGGAAATTTCAAACAAGTTTTGAATAATCAATAACTTTCTCTTTGGGACGGCACAACCAGAGTTCTGACAGGGCGCGCAGTAATAAGCATGTGTGCCTATTAGCCTACAACAATCGCTAGGCGTTCATTCTGAAATAAAAATAGCCAACTAACAGTTGGAAAGATTCAATGAACGCAAGGAAACTGAAAAAAATGTCTTATTTGTTAAAAAACTTCAAACTTCTATTTTCCAAGAAAAAATGTATAGCTTTAAAGCTCTTAGAACTTCAAGAACAAATTATGATTGATAATTTTTTGATACAAATAGATTATTTTGAGAAAACTGGTAAATTTTTCATTTCGCTGGTAAATCTGAATATTAAATTCCCCTTTCGAAATTAGAAGTCGATCACGGTTTTCGTGACTTTTACACATTTGCTGTTCGATAGAGGAGTTTGCCTTCCTTTCAACAAAAACAGAACTAAAGAAATCCAAATTCAAACGGCGAAAAATCAAATTTGAGCGTGAACGAATTATGATTTTTACTGAAAAACTAAAAAAAAATTATCATGACCAATTACCGAGCCTTCATCGACTTTTAAAAACTAGCCTGAACATTTAAAATCATTTTAAGAATCAGTTGGTTGCTTATTGAATTGAAATTCCATTTTTGTCGAATTACTTTTTCGGCATAGTGCACGCTGTTCAAAACTGCAAACTTGAGCAAATTAACTCCATTTTTGTTACGTGTTCATGCTAATTGACACACATGCTAATAGGCAGGTACCTATTCTGATATCGCTAATTAGCTGCCGCAGACTTGGATTAACCGCTTTCATCCAACTATGTTACCATATCTCATAAAAATCGGAAGAAGTCTAATCATTTGAAATTTTAATTCCAACTACTAAATATATACTACAATACAATTAAAAAAGCGGATTTAAAAATAGATCAGAAGCTTTGTCAAGACAATTTGAAATCAAGACATGATGCTAATCGTAATTTTTACTAGTATGAGAGATTCATGGTTTTTCTAAAATTGAACAGTTTCTACTTGCTCGGTGACAGAGAAGAACCGAAGACGCTTCTGGACTCTTTTCCACTCCCAACCTTCAAAACCCCCCCTTGACCTCTAAAAACTTTTATTTTCAGTAGTTTTCCGTAATAATATGGCTAAATCCGTGTTGTCACGCAGTAAATTTTTCAGGACATATCTTTTCTCAATAGTAAGTTTGTTCGCCATGCGAAGTTTAAATACACTTTTTCACTACGCTGAAACAGTTTTTTGAAAATATGGAGGAAAAGAACCACAGAGCCTTTTTCTGTAATATAATCTGAGCTTGATGAAAACTCTAGGATGATGATCTGGTTTTACGCAGAATAGAAGATTATTGATTCAATTAAAACAAAAGAAAAGCAAAAATTTCTTAAGCTCAGATTGATAGTGAAGTCTAGTTATGATAATGGCTAAGTTTTTGTCTGATAGTTTTATAAAAATGCAAAACATATCCGGGTGAATGAATTGATTTGGATTAAAGCCCTTGTTTTTTGAAAACGTGATAGCCCTTTGAGAAAAATCTAAGCTCTTTTCCAAATACTGAAACCATCCTGTGGTTGATAGCGGTGTTTAAAGAAATCGACAGCTCGCAAAATTTAAACGTTAGTTGAACTTGAATCAGTGCTTGCCGCAAACATAAACTGTTTTGTTTGGTAATTAAAGAAATTAAAAATTCCTTTGCCGGCTTTCGCATTAAAGCAGAAAGGTACGCACGCAACCATTGAATACTTAAAAATTAAAATCAGATAAGATTACAATTCGCCTCGCAATGTTTGTAAGCTTTTGTCTTTGGAAGAGCTGAGATTTTTGACATTCAGAGAATAGAAGTGTTTTTTTTCAAAGTTTATCGGACAACAAACGAACATTTGAAATATTCATAGCTTTGGTGACTGCTTCTCTTTACGAAGCTGTTCCCTTTCCGCTCTCAAATCGTTCACAATTTTCGTTCGGTCTGAATCGACTTGAGTGTACTCAACATCAGCACGACGCTTTGAGTCCGGAGTAGATGTAAGTGATCCTGGCTTTGTGTGATCCAGAGATTTGGAAGCTTGAAGTCGAGGCTGGATCGGGGATCCCATATCTCTGGCTATATCAGCAGCTGAAGAGAAATTGAAACTATTTATATTTGTATATTGTATTGGCTTTGCCCCTGTATAACCTTGCGGCAAATTGTGATACGCTGGACTGTCTGGGGCAAGTTCCGTGTAGTTAATTTCCTTTCGAGACCACTCGAATGATCGAGTGTTGTTGTTGTTGAGGGTGGGCCCGGCCGAAATCGGAAGACTTGACGATATTCTGGATTGAGAGTGTCCAGACCCTGGCGTGCTCGAAACACTTTCTGAATGGTGAGCTACACTTTCGGCATCTGAAGCCGAATTCGAAGAATTATAACTGTCATGACTCAATCTACTCGGCGACGGCGGAGACTCTATGTGATTCGGCTGTGGCGTGCTGAAGAAAGTTGGAATTTCGTCACGCTTCTTAGAAAATGACGTCACCGGACTCAAAGGCACAGATGATAAGACATCGTTCAGGTGACGAGTTCTCGGGGCATGGGTATTCGACCCACTTGGTAGAGTCAAGTTTGCCGGGCCCTTTTTCTTAATTTCAGACAAGGATCGATGACCATTGGAAGAAGTACTTGCGTTAGCGTTGTTTGCAGCAGAGTGCGAGGGTGAATTGAAAGTAGCAACATGAGGCTTTAACGACCTATTCACTGGAGGCGGCGGAGCTCCTCCCCTTTGCATGCCGTCAATTTCGTCTCTCGGTGACCCTGTTTTTTCCAATTGAGGCTTTTCGGGTACGAGATTCAAGTAGTGTTCATGCTTTGAATTCTGTCCAGGAATATTTAACTAAAGAAAAACGGACAAAAAATGCTTTTAGGAAATCAACTTTACTAATACAATATTTGGAGTTTTACGAAAAAGACTTTTTTATTGAGCAAGTTTATCGAGAAAGCAAATTTACCTGAGGCTGGTAATGACCATGAGCACCATTGTTCGCGCTGATATTTTGATTCTGAAGAGCTGCAGACTTCAACTGTAACGACTCATTCGGCGAAGGGAGCATCCCGTATCCATATTCTTCTTGAGTCTGGTACTCAGTGGTATAAGATCCTATCCCAGTACTTGCATACGTCGCTCCATATATATCATCTTGATGATTGTTATTTGGATTTTTCGGAGTTTTGCGTCGTGGTTGGGGCGCATTCGTATCCAAAGAGCCATACACTTGATTGTTCAGTCTAGACTTGGGGTCATGGTCAAAATACTCAGCTGCAGCCGATGAGTTATACATTTCTCGGCCGTACTCCTGACCAGGCGATGCGTCCAAACTCTCGTATGGAGTTACAGAGCAGTTTGTCTGAACCTGATGTGCAAGGTCGATTGAAAAGTTACTTCGCATCGCAGAGCTGGATACTTTGGACATGCTGTCAGCAGACTTGTAGTAGTTTGCATTGGCCATCATCGGCCTTGGCGGACCTGTGTTATCACTGAAAGCGTCATTATACTCGCCATCTGCGTTAGCGCTTCTAATGTCACCGTGAGACCCAGAACCATTACCATCCTGGTGAAGTTGATCGCGAATTGTAGCAGGTGATGTGCTACTAGTGGCCGCGAATCCACAGGACTCACATATTTTGTGCACCCACTCTCGCATCTCCGCCTCTTTCTTGCTGAGAAGGAAGTATGTGCGGCGCGGAGTGACAATGCTGAATGAGAACATCTTTTCAAAGCCTTTGAGAGTGTGGCCAGATTCAAGGGTCAGACAAGTTGCCATGTCAATGAAGCCTTTCATTTCTTCCTCGTCCGCTAAAATTGTGAATTACATTAAATTTAAGCACACATTAAAAGTGTAGAATTTAAAACTACACAATCTTCACCTTTGGACTTGCTGTTGGTCCTATAGTATCTGAGAAGTATTGAGCCATTTGCTTTGCGGTATAGCGTAAAATATCTGTCTCGCCATCTTCGTCGTTTACGCATTTGATCCTCGGGTGGACTCTTTTTCAGTACACCATAATGAATTGTACCCTTAGCGTCGCCTGATATCATATTGCTAGCTACTTTACATTTTTTATCCTAAAAAGATTAAACAAATTCTCAGCACGGTTTTAGACAAAGAAAAAGCTCCACAGTCACAAATTCAATTGAATACCTGCATGAAGTATACACTTACTATGATGTTGTTGTGATAAACTTATTAAATAGTTTCAGTTAAAAAAGAATACAAGAGGCAGCCGTGGTGGTCCCAATAGTCAATGTTGAAAAGTTTGATCACGACGATATTTTCTCGATTACTTATCACTGGACACTGATTGGAACTACACTCTGGACGGCTCCCGACTTGCTGTGTTCACCATCCCAATTCCCAATCAGCTGAGTTCATTCCAATTTTGTTTATTTATTTATTTTTCTTAGTCTCTATACCTTATGATCAAAATAGTAGGTGCTAGTTCTCTTTACCATTCCATCAATAAACTTGAACAATCGGAACAAGATAAGCTTGCTGATCCTGTTCACTCTTTCCCTGGCCTGAATCTTGGCCTGAATCTTTCCCTGGCCTGAATCTTTCCCTGGCACCCGAAAAAAGGCAACATACCCCAAACAATCGAAGAACTGATTGCGACCCTTAAAACTATTCCAAACCTCTTTTGCGTCGTTACCTGTCAACGAAAAGGTGCTCCCTATATATTCGACGATCTTATCAACAAGAACATTATCAATGATTGCGAAAGAATCGATGAATCGTTAATTGCCGAATACCGAAAACTGCACCAGGCTGCTGACATAGAGTCGAGGACTCTAGCTACTGTGCTGCACTATTTTCCCGACTTCAATAGAATCTTCAAAACACGTGGCACGAAGCGTCGAATGGCTGGCGAGAAGCGCGAAGCTAAGCGGCAAAAATTCTAAACAGGTACGCAAATCTGAGTCCATAACCTAAAATCTCAACAGGCGTGCTTATCGAGTCTCTGGCTCTGAGCCTCTTTGAAGATGTCTAAACATAACACCCGAAATCGGGTCAAGTCAGTTTCTGATTCTTGTAGTACGTGCTGCGAGAAAATCCTGAAAAATGATAGGACTGCTTTTGCGGTGGTTGTCGAATGCACCTGAATGAAGACTGCACTGGTCTAAGTGAAGCGGCTGTCTATGGAGTACCAGCCTTAGGAAAAAATGCTCTATTGATATGCAACAAATGCGTTGAAGAAAAACGTCAAGATAATTTGACCCAAGCTGCCCATGAAACTACAACCTCAAATGAACTTCGAGAAACTCAAATGAAAACCCTGGAAAACGAAATGACTGACCTCCAAAAAAAACAGTGACCGAAATCAAAACGCTGCTAACGACAAAACAACCTGATTCAGATTATCCAACCCAACCTAGCTCGATTGCCAGTCGCCAAAAACCGCCACCGAAATCCGCCGAGGAACTCGATGGCATTCTCATACGAGGAATCCCTGAATCAACGGAGAAGGAAGCAAGATTGCGCCAAGATCACGATCTCACCGAAGTTCAAAAAGTGTTGACCCATATGGACGTCAATGCCTCAATTGGCGATGTCATACGCCTGGGTCGATATGACGAGAACAAGACAAGAACAATCCTATTAAAAGTGCCCAATGCAAACCAACGACGAATGATATTGCTATCTACGACAAAACTTAAAAACTCCCCTCAACCAATTTTCCTCAGCCGACAACTGACGAAGGAAGAAGCTGATCAAGAAAACCTTGCCTTCGTCAGAAGAAGGCAGCTTATCAGCGACAAATCTGTAGACAGAAAGGACATTAGAGTCCACGATGCAACTCTGTACATTCGGAAAGGTGGAAAGTGGATAAAAGAGAAACTCCCAGATCCCGAAGCACTCAATTGACTAGCAGCGACGATTAATATCCTTGTTTACAAGGTCAGAACTATTCTCGAGTATCAACGGCGGACAACCTTCTCTAATGCTGTCCAAGTAAAAAAACGCATATCAAGTCATCTGCCTAACTGAATACTGGTTATCAGGAAGCATCGACGACGCTGGACTTTTTCTGACAAACTACGTTATCCACCGAAATGACAGACCGAGTGACAAAGGCTTGACAAAATGGTGGCGTACTTATAGCAGTAAACCGTAACATTCCAAGTAGCCAAATCAATTCCGCGTTTCAAGACTGTGTTATCATCCGCATATCCCTGAACAAGCCAATTATAATATGCTGCATCTACAGCGCTCCTTCAAACAGTACCTACACATGAGACATCTCAGATCTAATCGAACTCCTGAAATTCCTGAGGCGTAAGCAATTTGAACAAAGTGCAATTTGTTCGCATATAGTTGAAGATATAAATTTAACTGTACACACTGGCCGTCAATGACTTCAACTTCTCTAGATGAGCAGTCAATCCTTGGCGAACTCTGTGAGTCAATTTTCCAACAACTAATCAAAACTCCTGCTACCAATCACTACAAAATACAGGTCTGAACTAGCTCCTTTGGTGGGAAGCGATTCCTCCTACCTTAAAGAAATTAAATACACTCCAACTTAAAAATCAGCGAAAACCTACCCCATCGAACGAAGGAAAATCTGCAAACTGAACTAACACTGTCCCTTCAAAATGACCAGCATCTCCACGAAAAAATGCTTTTTGAGAATGGGAAACTAAGCGAAATACAACGATATCTGAAATCGATCACAAAGTCTAGCATGATCCCTTCAGAGATCTTCCTAGATCAAAAAATAGCCAATACAGACGCTCAAAAAGTTGAATTGTTTAACATATATTTTCAATCACTTTTCACACGAAACGCCAACGTTGGAAAAGCAAAACGACAAGATAACGTTCTTCTGAACAATATCAATTTCACCATCGATGAAATAGAAGATGCCCTAAGCGAGCAGCACGTAAAAAAGACCAATGGACCAGACATGATTGGTAATACTCTTCTGAAAAACCTCTCAAAGTCACTTCACTTACTGTTCAACTTGATTGCAAATAAAGCGATATTTCCAACAAAATGGAAGATCGACGAAATCGCACTAATTTTCAAAGACGGGGATAAACAAGACGCATCAAATTACAAGCCGATCAGCCTGCTCTCAGCGGTGTCAAAACTGCTTGAGAAACTGGCCTCAATTGTCTACTCAACCCTAACACCAGACCAACACGGTTTTAGACCTAAACGATCGACGATAACACACCTAATAGAGTATCTACACGAGATATTTAGCTGCCTAGATTTGTCATACTGCAACTACCTGAAAACCTTCTACTCGGACTTTCAAAAGGCATTTGACAAAGTCTCGCACAGAATCCTCATGGAGAGATAATCAACTTCTGGAATTGGAAGAAATTGTTTATCTCTGATACACAGCTACCTCTCTAACCGGAAGCAAACAGTGAGGCTGAATGACACAATTTCCGGAGAGCTGGAAGTCTTTAGCGGCGTTCCCCAGGGCTCTATACTCGGACCGCTTTTCTTCCTAGTCTTCATAAATGATCTACCGTCCTGTGTCATGTCTGCAACATTTGGTTATGCAGACGACTACAAAATTGTTAGAGACAACCCTTTAACTCTCAACATAGATGTTAGGAGACTTTGGAGGTGGTGCGAGGAAAATTTCATGTCAATGAACCTGACGAAAAGCAAAGTCCTCTGTATCAAAGGAGCAGTTACTATTGCACTCCTCAATTACACTTTCGAAACCACTGAAGTAATGAAAGATCTGGGCATCCTGATAACCGACACGCTCTCTTGGACGCAACACGCAAAAAAGAGGGCTGAAAAAGCCTTAAACGCTCCCTTCGTACTCGAAAGGAATCTCTCAAAGGCGAATTTTGCGACCAGAAAAAACGCATAAATCTGTTACGTTGTGCCAATTCTGTGCTACGGTTCAGCTATCCAAGGAGAACGTCTAGTCCAAGTAAAAATTGCTTATCAAATCATCTGCCTAACTAAGATCTGGTTGACAGAAAGCATCGGCGACGCTGCACTTTTTTTGACAAACTACGTTATCCACCGAAATGACAGACCGAGTGACAAAGGCTTGACAAAATGGTGGCGTACTTATAGCAGTAAACCGTAACATTCCAAGTAGCCAAATCAATTCCGCGTTTCAAGACTGTTATCATCCGCATATCCCTGAACAAGCCAATTATAATATGCTGCATCTACAGCGCTCCTTCAAACAGTACCTACACATGGGACATCTCAGATCTAATCGAACTCCTAAAATTCCTGAGGCGTAAGCAATTTGACCAAAGTGCAATTTGTTCGTATATAGTTGAAGATATAAATTTAACTGTGCACACTGGCCGTCAATGACTTCAAATTCTCTAGATGAGCAGTCAATCCTTGACGAACTCAGTGAGTGAAACTTCCAACAACTAATAAAAACTCCTGATGGAAAATTACTAGACGTTCTCCTTAGTAACAAACCGCATTTCGTCACCAGCGTAAAACTTGACAAACGTCTGAGTAGTCTATTCAGTTCCGACCATTTGCCACTCCATGCCAAAGTCTCATTTGACTACCGACCACTTCATAAAAAGACATCAGCCATCAAACAAAAACTAGATTTTGGCATTTACGCGTACAAGAAAGCAAACTGGGAAGAAGTGAATGAATTCATTCGTCAACACCCCTTCCAACCATTTTGCTTGAGCTGATGTTCAATCATTGGTACGAGTGGTTACACGAAATACTACGGGACCTGCTACCAATCACTACAAATAACAGGTCTGAACTAGCTCCTTGGGTGGCAAGCGATTCCTCCTACCTTACCAAGAAATTAAATACACTCCAACTTTAAAATCAGCGAAAACCTACCCCATCGAACGAAGGCAAAACTGAAAATCTACAAACTAAACTAACACTGTCCCTTCAAAATGACCAGCATCTCCACGAAAAAATGCTTTTTGAGAATGGGAAAATCAGCGAAATGCAACGATATCTGAAATCGATCACAAAGTCCTAGATCAAAAAATAGCCAATACAGACGCTCAAAAAGTTAAATTGTTTAACATATATTTTCAATCAGTTTTCACACAAAACGCCAACG